AATCAAGGCGTCACTTAAATGTCCGTGGAAAAAGTGCGACACTTCCTTCCATAACTGGTATAGTGTAGTTTTGTGTGTTGATTGCACATAAATAAGGTTTCTGTTCTTCACTTGCGGATTCTTTTGATAAGCGACTGCCTTTGACAATTATATGCTCTTTGCCACATGCATCTACTTCACAGAAAAAGACTGGGAAGATATCAAGTTCGGGGTAGACAATCAGGTCGATTTCTATGCTGTCTCATTTGTAAAGGACGCTAGAGTGGTTCATGAGTTGAAGAACTATCTTAAAAGTACGCTGCCAGACGACTTTTTGCCTTCCTAAGCCTGTGTCTGAGTTTGTGCGTGTGTGAGTGGTTGAGCGTTTCCTTTGTTTTTTTTTTGGTTGAGAGTGCTTTGCTTCATAAAGTTTTTATGAACTGAATTCTTGTATGCCTTTTTTATAGGTCGCAATGCTGATATACACGTGATTGTAAAAATTGAAAGTGCTGATTCTATACCAAATCTTCATTCGATACTTTCAGCTTCAGATGGGGTGAGTTTCTCACTTGTCATATTAATTTTGGATGTGGATATCACATATCTGTAATGCCTGTTGGTAATTAAGTTGCAATAAAAACTTATAACTGATTTACAACTAAGTTTATACTGAATTGGTCCGAACCAGCTTATAGTTATCTGAACACCTTTATTTTGGATAAGTTGTCAGAACTCAGAAGTTGTGCTATATGATGGATCAAAGTACTATTATATTTATCTTTGGTGTAACATCCAGTTTGATTGCTAGACTTAACTTTTATTTAATTGATAGGCCATGGTTGCTCGTGGGGACCTTGGGGCTGAACTTCCAATAGAAGAAGTTCCTTTATTGCAGGTGAACATGATGCACATATTAACATCATATCTCTGCCATTTCATTAAAACTTATGAGTATAATTCTTGAGATAATCTACAAATGATAAATTTCATCATTTGTGTTGGTACAATATCACTAAACATTATAGTTTTAGTCTTGTGGATGAAATATGAGCAAAGCTCTTCTTGCTGCTTGTAAACTATAAAATACAACATCATGATCTAAGGAAAAAGATGAATGCTCGACTGTGATTATTAGGTTTATTATGAACTCATTCCCTTGTCGTAAAGGGAGATAAAGCCTATTAAACTTTGTGTGCACTTATAGATTTATGTATTGCCTATAAATGACCGAACTCTAAAAGGAGAATTTTAATCTCAAAACCATGAAATAGTTGGCAAACAAGTTCACTGGATGACTCGGGTTGTTGAGAGTTTCAAGTTAGAAATTTGATATGGAGAACCCACGTAGCATTTTATCTAAACATGGCAGTGGGATGCTAGATGACGGACATGCAATATGTTGTATCTTAAATATGATTTTTCCTCTGTTTTAATAATTTTTCCATATTAAGTCTGCATAAAGGGCACTGCTATTTCTACCGTTGTGTCTTACCATTACCCTGAAATGATGATATATCTTTTAACTTATTTCTAAAAAGTGAGAGTGTGATCAATTCTGTGTTCTGTCCCATTCACTCCTTGAAACAGGAGGACATCATTAAAAGATGTCATAGCATGCAAAAACCAGTAATCGTGGCCACTAATATGCTGGAAAGCATGATTGGTCACCCTACACCGACGAGAGCAGAAGTTTCAGACATTGCAATTGCAGTAAGAGAAGGTTCTGATGGAATCATGCTTTCGGGAGAAACTGCACATGGAAAGTTAGTTCGCTTTTCTGACTCATCTATATATGTTATAATGCGTATGACCTGATAAGATATAATGCATAGTCATGTATGGCTTTCAAGTCAGAAGAACAGGTCTATAAGATTCATGAATTTAATGTTCACTGACTGATTTTCTTGAATTATTTAATACTTGCTTCTGTTCTCAGACACTTTTGGCTGGGAGTCATTGTACTTGTGAGGCTTAAAATTCATCATTCGTAAAATTTCATAAATCTCTTGAATCATATGTAAAAATTTCTGTCCCCAGTTGAATGGGAAGTTAGCAAAAGGAGTCAACTGTATGAAATTGGAAATTCAAAGTACAGATTTACTGTAATGGGAAATCGAAACTGCTAGTGGAGGAATCAGATTGTGTTTTACACTGTACTGTTAAGGGTTCTTTCTGGTACTTTATTTTATAGGCTTCCTTGATAAAATTTTAGATAAGTGCTTCACTTAAAGAGCCCAATATGGCAATCCTTTAATACAAAGTTTGCTTTTTCAGTGTTTTGGAACGTCCCCATCATTGTATATTCAACAATTAAAAGAACCAGTTAAAAACAGCACGAAAATGAAGTCTTTCTATTTGTATTGTTCTCTCTTAATTCGTAAGAGATTAGATAAATTAAGCACTTTATTGAATATTTACCTTGTGCAAAGAAAGGTGAAACTATTAGCCTATGCTGGGTTTATATTCTCTTGTTTCTGGGAAAGTCAATATCTTCGCTTCTTCCCCCCCCCCCCCCAAAGAAAAAATAAATGGATTTTTTTTGCTACAGAACCACCTGCCATTTAATGATTAAACTAGGGTCTTTATTGTTTTGTTACATACAGTGTTTTTCTCTCTCGCTGAGCTTTGCATTTGATGTACTTTCTTGATAATCATAATGAAATTATATTGAAAAAATTACAACTCTTCAGATATCCACTGAAAGCTGTAAAAGTGATGCATACAGTGGCGCTAAGGACTGAGCTAAGCGTTTCAAGTAGCGTGGCTCTTCCCAATCAGTTAAGTTCCCATGAGGCAAGTGCTAAATTTACAAAGAAGTCTTTCCTCGTAACCTAGGTATTTACTTTTAGAGTTTAGTTTCCTATCTTTTCATCCATGCTCCTTTGAAATCTAATCAAGTTTTGTTCTATTGTTTTGACAGAGCCACATGGGAGAAATGTTTGCTTTCCATGCAACAATTATGTCTAACACCCTTAATAATCCAGTAATTGTTTTTACCAGAACAGGATCCATGGCTATCCTCCTGAGCCATTATAGGCCTCATTCGACAATCTTTGCATTCACAAATGAGTGAGTATTAGCTGCATGTATTTTATTTTTATTTTTAAGAATAGTTTCAAATGGGCGCCAGGCATGTACCTTGGTCTTGTTTTGCTTTCCTTTTTTGGAAGCAATAGTAATAAATGGTGGATTTTGGGGGCTTGATCAATAAAACCACTATCAGGGCAGCAGTCAAACACCTCGTTATTCTTGATTTCCAACTTGACTTGTATCTCATCCGGTGCTTATAGAAAACGATAGACGGAGACAACCTGGACCCTTATTTGAGACAATATTTACTGGTGTATCATAGTGCTGTACTGGATTGTCCAGTTAGAAAGAGTTAGTGTCGTATAGTTAACCATCAATGACATGCTTGGCTCAAGTCTTAAATCATTAATATTTTTCAAATTTACTCTCAGACGGTTCTCTTGGATGCTGTTGATAGATCTTATTCAATTTCACTTCTTTTTTGGAACTTCGCCACCCAGCTATTGTGAATCAGGAATCCATCTGGACAAAGTTTATGCTATCTAATTTGGTCCTCTTTGGTATTTAACAATTGTATTTTACTTATAAAGTATATGAAAATATTGACTTCGTGGAGGATAACTTTTTTTAGAGCACAGAGACACACCATGATCTCCTTCCCTCCTGAAAAATATATATTACTGTTCACTGATGTTTGGTAACTCTTTTGGCTTAACCAGATTTAAGTTTCAGGACTGTTTTATGGTTTCTTGAGTCATTATTATCCTGCATCTTCACGTATTGATCTAACATGCTTTTTGTTTGGCAGAGAAAGGATTAAGCAGAGGCTTGCGCTTTATCATGGTGTCATGCCCATATACATGCAATTTTCAAATGATGCAGAGGAAACGTTCTCCAGAGCTCTCAAGCTACTGCTGGTAAGTAATATGTCTGTAATTTCTACTCGTCTTTCTTCCATTAATGTTGTCTTTTCTAGTGGATTTAAAGGATTTTTCATGCTTCAGAATAAGGGGCTTGTAGAGGAGGGGCAACATGTTACTCTTGTTCAAAGTGGAGCACAACCAATCTGGCGTGAGGAATCTACTCACCACATTCAAGTTCGTAGGGTTCAAGGATGAAATTCCTCTCTGAAGGGGCTTTCTCCCCTGATGATATTTTACAGCTGCAAGTTGCATTAACTTTTCATTAGATTCTCCCCCCCCCCCCCCCAAAAAAAAAAAATGATACCTCGAACTATAGCGATCGATTTCGGAAACACCGAAGTTGAAAATTGTTGGCATTCACAAAATCCAAAGTAGGGGCTTAGCTGTAGGGCACTTAAAGCTGTGTCTAATTTTTGTTTACATAAAGTCATCTTGGTTTTTTTTTTCCCCCCCTTTGCTGAAAGAAAGTCATTTTGATAGCTCCGCGTGTAGCTCTTTCTACAGCCCTTGGCGGCATACTAGTTTTGTGATTTGATCTGATGATGAGGGGCCATATCTTCTTTCAACTTCGTGCCACAGCTGGCTTGTCTGTTTCTGTTATTTTCCCCCTTTTTTCTTTCTTTGTTTTCTTTTTCCCCTTTGCTAGTGCTGATAAACTGACGCGGTCGGCAATTGGCGCCTTTCAATGCAATTTGTCAAATTCTTGAATAATATTTTCAAGTTTTGGTGTTTAGTCCTGTTTTATTGTCAACGTAACTATAGGCTTTGACGTTTGAGTCTATCGGCTCGGGTTTTTCTTGGTAGTGGGATGTCTGCTTCAAATAGGTGAATTAAATTTATCATTTGATTTTTAGGAACTCTCAAGGATGAGAAAATTTTAAATAAACTCATCTTACAGAAAATTAGTAATCCAGATTGATTATAAGTAAATGTGCGAGCATGTTAAATATAAATTTTATCAAGAAGTGTGTTTAACATGCTTAATGTCTTATGATTAATTTGATTTCCATATCTTTCGTGACTTGAGTATACTTTAGAATTTTGCTCGAGCGTGCCAAGCTGTGCGGGAAAAAAAAAGTTTTGAGACTCGGAAATCACTTGTACATATCACAATATACTCTGGCGATGGAACAAACAGATGAGGAAGAAGGGATGTTTAAAGAGACCCTAAAACAGTCATTGCCTCTTGGAAGTTTTGGTTGAACCCAAATACACAAACCAGCACCGAGAAAGATAAACTGAAAATTACAGTTAGGGGTCATAAGAATGGTAAGATGGTAGTAGTATAGAAGAGGCTCGGGGAAAAAGGGCTTCTCTTACCAAACCAGAGAAATTTCCTTTTAAAACAGTTGTTACCATATGCAACCGAAGATATTGTGACTAGAGGCTCCATTCTTCCTCTTATTTATTTATCTGTTTTCGTCCTTTGAAGTCAGACACTGAGGCTGCCAGATTCATCATTCTCTTCATATTTCCCTTTCAGCTGTATACACTTATACCACCTCGCAGTGGCAATATACACCACTAAGTCTATGGAGGTCAAAGCAGCCAAGAGGAAGTAAAACCTATCCAAGTGGCCTTTGTTGAGATTTCCCGGTATCCACCCAGGCATGTGATCTTCAGTCGAAATCTTCATAACCATACTCACCAGCAAGCTACTCACATAGTTGCCCAGAGAGATCGATGTCATGCACAGTGCACTCCCAAAGCTCTTTAACCCATCTGGCGTCTGAGCATTGAAGAATTCCAACTGTCCGACATACATAAACACTTCGGAAGCTCCTATGAAAGCGTACTGAGGTATTTGCCAGAAGATGCTTAGAGAGCTGGTTCCGTCACAGTGTGTGCAGCCCTGATTTGCGTACTTAAGCCTATAGCACTCCACTATTCCGGCCGAGACCATTGCCATGATTGCTATCACAAGGCCAATTCCCATTCTCTGAAGCTCTGTGAGTCCCTTGGAATTTGTCTTCTTAAGCTTTCCGACCAGTGGGTCGAGAACTCGACGGTAGAGGAATATGAAGATGGCCACACTGAGGATGTCGAAGCTAGACATGCTCGCTGGTGGGATTCGGAAATTTGAGATTGTGGTTTTCATGGCCGCTCCTTGCTCCACGAACAGGGAAGCCATCTGTGTGAAGACCACCGAGTATATTATGGTGCACAGCCAAATCGGAAGAAGCCTCAGAACGCACTTCACTTCTTCAACTTGACTTATTGGACAGAGATGCCAGGGGTTGTGAACCCCTCGTTTCTGGTCATCTAAATCTCGAGACGACATAAATGCTGCTCGATCCAAGAACCTGCATTAACAAAAACACCCACTTAGTTCAACGACTTGGCTGCCAGTATGATTTGATATCCTTTTATGTATTCTCATTGTATATCTGGATAGCGTGATGAGCATCAAGCACTTACTTAAAACCATGGGTATAAAGAATCTTTCTGTTGCTAGTTGTGGAAGATTCCTTAGCATCGCCGTCATACAACTCCTCTTCATTGGGAGGCATTTGAGCCCTGCATTTGGTGGATGCGGCAACAAGGACTTGACATAACCTGGAAAGAGGATTTCCGCTGGCTTTGAAGTGCCTGTATCTAGGGGTTCCCAAAAGGAACAAGACTAGGGCGGTGAAGGCGGAGCCGGCAGACACCCAGAAGCCGAGAGCCCACATTCCTTCATCCTCGAAGTAGACTAGAATGGTGTTCGAGAAAAGTGAACCCAGGTTCAAAGCAAGGTAGAAGTAGCTGAAGAAAGCCACCTTTGAATGGCTTTCCCTGGAGTGCTCTGCATCGAACTGATCAGCCCCAAACGTAGCAATGTTTGGTTGATACCCTCCATTCCCTAAGGCTATGAGATAGATGGAGAGATAAAACATGCCCATCTCTAACCTCGAATGCTTCCCACATTCAAGCTGTTCATTCCCACAATCTTTGGGTTTGATCAAGAACGCGTACGACGACAGCGACAGCGACACCAAACCCTGTTGAGTCATCATATCTTAATCAATTAGGTCACTTCTCGGGTCATCACTCAGATGATTTAATTGCTTGAGAAAAGGAAGAATAGGCGAATCACTTACAATGACGAAGATGACCTGGAAGACGGCGCAAGTTTTGTATCTTCCCCAGTAGGAATCACTGACAAAAGCGCCGACGAGGGAGAAAATGTAAACAGTTCCGGTCCACTTGCTGACATTGTTGGCGGCGTCAGCGTTGTTCTGGCCTAACACGCGAGTCAGGAACAGCACCAAGTTCACTCCGATCCCGAAGAATGCTAGGGTTGCCAGACCTTGGTTCACTGATTAATCACAAGTCAATTAATAATTAATCTCTTGTTAGTTAGTTAGTTACTTATTGAGCTCGGATCATTTGACGGCGGATATGTCCAGATTAACTAATTACGCTTCGACGACGTGTTGGATGCGCTTGATCACATGCGCGCTTTCTGGCGCTTCGCATATTTACGTGACTCAAGCACTTTTATATAGCTACAAGTTTGGTTAAGATCATCACGTGGATTATAACAAATCATTAGCTCAGTTTTCTCAGGCGTATTAATTAATCAGGACTTTGGAGTTAAATCTCTATGTTAAGAAAATTTGCATCGATCACTTCTGCACTACATCCTACCAATAAATAGGGATTAGATTAAAAATGGTAAATAATAACTTAAGTTACTTGTATTAGCTAGATCACTTCCATGTAGTTCAATAGTAATCTATTATTTCAATATATACCACAAAAGTATAATAAATATTTCCAAGAGGCAGTCGGAGGCCGAAAATGTTTGATACGAGGCTTTATATCCCATAAAAAGAGCATTAAATAGGAAGTATATTTCTTTTACGAAGCGTGTGTTATGGATCATATCTATAATACTTTAAGATATGAATAGCTAGTGGGAATCTTTATTTGCAAAAAAGATGTATAGGTTACTCTACTATATTAATTCTTTTTCAAAGTGATTTTCATGTCATTCCACATTAATAACCCTCTTCTATTCTTTCATTAATTGCGCGCGGCAAGGAAATTAAAAAAGGTCTATTCTTTAAATAATCGGGAGGCCTATTTTCTAGATATATAAGAAAAATAATACACCTCCAAACCTCTTGTACTAATTATAAGAAACGAGATCCTAAGATATGAGGCAGTATTGTATTAAAAAAGAAAGAAAAAGAAAAACAGATAAACAGCTTCAAACGCAAAAAGCGATGTGGTGATTAGATCGACCAAAAAACGCAGGTGGGATACGAGATCAAAGAGTTTAACGTTCATGCAAACGCTTGTTTGTTCACGACGGCGCTCTTGTCCCAGCACAGACGAAACGATAAGCTTCACAAATTGAATTTTCCTTGTAACTCTCGCACTCTTTTATATATGTGTGTGTATTAAACTCATCGGGAAAAAATGGAGAATGATTCAGATGCGAATGAATCTAGCTGGCGACACGTGGGAAGGTTCAAGCCCATGCAAGCTCGCTTGTAGAGATTACGTGTCAGGCTTGTGTTATTAAATGCTGAAGTTTCTGACTGGATCTATGGCCTCCTCTCACTTTTGTGGGTCCCATTTCCCACAGTGCCCGGGAGTCCTGACGGCTAATCCTAATTCCTGAATTGTTTTATAACGAAGGTCCTTCCAAAATCCTTCGTCTCTTTTCACCGTCCTTTTCTCTCGAGAAATTCATCCAGCTCTAAGGGATCGGTTCATTCTCATACACACACCTCTCTCATCATGCAAATGAGCACACAAACACACACACACATATATAGAGGAAAACGATAATGTGAATTCGATCGGAGCTGTTATATGTTCTTGCACGCAAAGTGTAACACGTTCCTGATGATCGTCGATCGATGCCGTTTATGTTGTCGTTTTCTTTGATTTCAATTTTAAACTATAACTCATTATATGAGGACCCCAAGCTTCCTCCTCTCTCTCTCTCTATCTCTTCCCTCTCATATATGACTGATAAGCTATCTATTCTTCTGTCGGCATGTTACTATCCATTCGTGATCTTCATCATCTCTGCTCAACAAAAGATTCCTGAAACTTCTACCCACCGTAAACTATACGCGTCGCATGTGCATGCAATCTCAGCCTTTTATTGGGAAGTGCGCACTAGTTCTAACAGGAGAACATTACCCAGCTGGTTTTCTGGGGATCTCCATCGGATGCGACTTGAAAGATTTTACTACGGCAGATTATATATATATTATAAAACGTGACAACGAATTTGATAAAAGAGCGAGAAAAAAAATATGGTCATGCAGTAATGTTGGGTGTGTGGGGAGCTTACAGAGTATGATAATTCCGGCGAACCATCCTCCGGATTTGTCCCTGATAGCCGGACGGCCATGCCAATCAACACTTCCATCGAGAGTAAACCCTTCTGGTTCTTCCTTGTACTTGCTCTGCACAAAGAATGCGCGATTCCATGAGCCACTGGGTCTGTCTATTTACTCAGAACATGAAGAGATCAACTAATATTGTGATCTCCGAAGAATGAGGGATTAATTACTGACCTGTTCACAGAGCCCCAGGCAAGCCATTGACGGTGGTGAGGAAGAAGGAAGCCGTGAGAGGTGTGTGGAATGGGGAGCAGAGGAAAGGTGTTGATTGGGATGAGAAGGCCAGAGAGAGATCAAGCGAGTGATTTGGTTCAGAAGAGGAGGAAATCGGGAGTAAATAAATAGAGGAAGCAAGTGAGGCATGAACGGTGGAGATTTCAGGGCAAAAAAGTTGGGTCATACACGTGGCAGTATCATCCTGAAATGTGTCTGAATGCAATTTTCTTGGACTAAAATACATGGCAAATCTTTGTCTTTTTCTCATCCCCACATTACATATACCACTATTTTCTTTTTTAAAAAAAAGTAATTATTCTCTCATTAAATCATCCAAACTAATGCGTCAATATAATCTAGAAGACGTATTCATTTGTGGTGTGCTACTACTAGTAGTAAATGCCAACTCTCTCATTGGCTGCAGTCTGCTTCATGCTGACACTCTCCATTCCAAGTTGATACATGCAAACTCACGTTTTGGCTTCCAACTTGCTTCCACTGAAACCAAACAAGCCGCAATTCATTAATCTGTTTGGTAAACTTCCGAGAGATCAAGCCATAGACTAATAATTAATCAACGTGGCCGTGAGTTAGCATGGGATTGAAGCTGTGATCTAATAATAATACGGTGGCAACTAAAATTAAAGTTACGAAGAGAAGGTAGTACAAAAGTGCAGAACAGAAGCAATTTCGTCCACTAAATTCTGGACTTGGCTTCAAGAAGGAATAAAATCGACTAACAAAATATGATGTTACAAGGGGGGCAAGGACAACGAGGAAAAATGCTCACTCACATGCTATTAATTTGCACTCGTTTGGAAACCTAGTTCCTTTTATTTCTCGCCATAGAAGTTAAAAAAAGTTCCTTCTTCTTAGCTGTCTTCTTCAATTCTGAACATAAATTTTCTGGTATGTTAGATTTCAAAGCAAGTAATTACCATAATAATTTTTGTACTTAGTTTCAAATGCCAACAATTTATTAGGCTCGTGTGGGAAATGGGAATCCCCCGAAACAAGTGTGAGAAAATGGATGTTATTCCAGGGAATATAACAGTCGCCTAGTTAAAGCTTTACACACTACTCACAAAGGATATGGTTCCATTATTCCATTAAATATATATTCTTGTTTTTATTCCTGGACAACAAACAAGGTTTGTATAATTCTTAGGTATCTCTTCCTTCAGTGGGAAGCCATGTATCCATATACTATATAGATTACATTATCTTTTCTTTTTAAATAAATTTGATATATATATATATATTCATGTAATGACCGACACCTTTATTGATTTTTCCATCTCAAGTGGCTGAAACATTCTCTAACAAAATTCCATGAATATGTTTATATACCACCAGCCTGTGTCCCTTAAAATCAGTGAGATAAGATTAGGGGGATATATCTTGCCCTTCCCTAGAAGTTAGGCAACCTGTCAATCAATTATGCAATTAATGATTTAACAACACATCTCAAATTTATCTGCCACCCAAAAAATTGTTAAATATTATTACAATTCAGTTGGAATATTTCTCTATTATATCTCTTTTAAGTGTTAGAGTCGAAACCAGAAGGGCTTTTTACCTTTTTCAACAAGTGTTAGTCCTCGATATTGCATTGATGAATAAAGTAGAGGGAAAGCTGATAAAGGGAAAATTAAGAATCGAGGTTTATTGTAATAATTGTCTTCCTTTATTTGAGTTTAGGCATAAATCCCAACCAAAAACCGTTTCTTCATTGGATTGAACATCTTCTAATTGCTGTGAGCTTCATTGTAATTGGCTGCTTTTACCAGATTTGGTTTGATACTTCCTCTGGCAGGTATCTGTAGCAAAATTAAATTATTCTTTTTGGACGTTCCTGTCAATGACATATTCAACGTAATAAAATTAGAAGCACAGTTAATATATATACTGTGTAGCAAATTTTCACAACATAAAAAGTCTTGCATTATTATATTATTAATGCCTTGATTTGCGCCGATATAATTCTTAACCACAAGTTCTGAGCTTCAGTTCTTTTTATAATCTTCATACAGGAAACAGTGAGAAAACTTGAGTGTTTAATAATGTTACTCCTATATATATATATATATATATGCTTACGAACATCATGATCGATGCTGCAGATAGATATATTGACAATGAAAAAGAAAATGAAGAAAAAGAATACACTTTAAGCCTTTCGCCGAACGGTAAATCTTGCTTCAAACTTGGAGCTCCAAAAAGTTGGTAAACTTTTTCGACGTCAATTTCGTCTCTCATTCACTCCCCATTCATTAATGAAGGCCGAAAGAGTCAAGCTTTGGCATCGCTGACTTTTGATTCAAAAAACAAAAAAAAAATCCCATAGGAATGGATTCATATTTCACACTGCATAGTAAAGAATTTGCTGACATATATACTGATGACTTTTTGGCAAAGAAATACACAATGTATAGCAGAGAATATGTATATATATCATCGGGTATATATCTTTGTGTTTCTGTGATGGATGTTTAATTCTTTATCAGATTCCCTCTCACTCTCATCATATATATTCATGTCTTGCTGCCACATGAGTACGCTGTTACTTTTACTTTCGGTGTCGAAAACAAGAATTCTACGAAATTTGACAAAATCTCCAAATAAGATGAAAACGTATTTTCCAGAAGTTACTTCCTGAGAAAAGAGTGCACGCTATCTTTACAGGAATATAATGTAAGGTCCAACTAGCAGTATAGAATCAGCATCAGCCAGAATATATAGACAAGACAAATGTATGTTTATATCTATATAAGCTGAGATCCTGGAAAGGAAGATATGCTAAATTTGGTAACTGTTGGTTAATTCCATCTGCTGCGAGAGTAAGTTTCATTCAATGAATTTCATTTACTGTATCTGATATATTCATAGTAGTCTAATTCAAACCACAAAATTTTTTTCTTCTTTTTTTTTGTTATGAAGGATATGATATGTTGGTTAATTTATTTCCAGCTGCTAATGACGATTGGATTCATTGCTTTCCATAGTAGTCTTCTATGTCCTAATCAGAACCCATTTCTGCAGAAAATGTCAAATTTTGCAAAGTAAATTAAAGGAAAGCTGGTTACAAGGAGTACAACTGTTAAGCATGACCTAACACGCTCCATTTCCTCTTTTCTTGCACAAAGAAAGCGACACTCACACACACACACACTTACAAAGATGACAAAAGCAAGATGACCCCATGGGCACAACCCAGTGGGGCAACCCAGGAAATTGCGTAAAAAAGACAGGGACAAAAGCCTAATAAATAACAAAGTCGATATAGAGTTAAAACATTTCCCTGTTAATGCATTTTCCAACAACATCTGCTTTTCACAGAGATTCCAAAATGAAGGGTAGGGGAAGGGTTAATATCAACTCAGTAGGTAAGACCTCACATCAGAAAAACAAAAGAATTTTCTGGCCCTCGTGAAATTGATTTTATGTGAGAAGTTGATATAGCCTTCCTGTGAAATGGAATTGCTCGTATTGCGTCTATGCACTGACTTATCAATAGTGAACACCATAAAAGCAGATTGTGGATTTTCTTACGCACGAGCGCACTCAAGTTTCTGCAATAACAACAATTAAAAAAATAAAGATCTGTTTCATTTTCCAATATAAAAATCTGTCTTATTGTATGCAGCCATGTTTCGTGCTGTTGTTTCATCTCTTTATGTTGCTCATAAGGTCTATTTCAACAGTCAGATCCCACCCGTGGTTTACAAACATCAACGTCATGACCAAATTAAATCAGGATCTCCAATTTAAACATGATGTCTCATCATCAGCAAGGGTGTGGCTGAGGTAGACAATGGCCGGTTTTTTAGTCAGTGCTCATGGCCACACTTGTCCTCATTCATTGGTTACATTTGTTTATTTATTTATTTTTTTGGGTTCTTCTGTTTGGTCTTTCTCTGGGGGTATTTGGTGTAACCAAGACAAAAAGTCAGATATTTTACTGTTACTGACTTAATCTTTAAATTCACTTATCACTCTAATCTCTGACCCCCCTGATATCACTGGTAATGGCATTACCAGGAATCTTATACTTTATCACCGATAGTTTAGCTGGTGTGAACCACAAATATATTGATTTGAGGTCAACGTTTCCTAAATTTATGTGAATATCTTCTTCCTCTTGTTCATATTTTCTTGCTGTTTATCATTTGAGTTAGAGGAAAGACTATCAGATAGTTTTCATTAGTGGGCATGCTTATAAACTCGGACACACACAAATTTATCGCGCAGATTGGACAGGAAAGCAGAAGATGGCAAGCGTGTTTTTATTTTGGCAAAGAAAAGCAAAATCAACAATGATTGGATAGTGATGGAAAGACACTGACCTTCCTAGCCACCATTGTGGTAAAGACTAAAGAGATTTATTTGGCTTGTGCATGATGAGTTTTCCTTTCAATTAGGTCATCCCACAAAATAAATCCTCTTCTCTTAAATGGTTCATTCAAGCTTCTTTTTTATTCTTTTATTAATTTTGTGTGGCTTGCAGTGTTAGACCCGTCCCTTCTTATCCTTAAACATGACCGATAACCAACCACAGCTCTCATGAAAAAAGAACATCAAATCTTTGAGAGCAATTTGACAGGGAAAACAAATTAAAAAAGTACAATAAGAAAGGAAGCAGAGGAATGTGCATTCACTTTCCAGTTGGCTTCAATTAAAGCTAAGCTCATGAGTGAAAACTAGACGCTGTATCTGCATAATCACACTATACATTTTCCATACACCACAAATTTTTAGGAATATATATGCCTATGTATAGAAATTAAAATCGGTTGTGATTATATATGTGTGTGTGTGTGTCTGTGCCATTGAAGAATACATTTGACCTGGTCTATCTAACGTCCACCATGAAATTTGTCTCTTTGCAGACGACTTGTCTAATGCATTGTGCCATATGTCACATGCCACTAAATGAAGAATTGAAGTTAGATAACAGTAGGTGTGCCTTTATGGATGTAACAGTTGAGCACGTAATGTGTAATATGAGCCATGAAAAAGAACGGTAAGACATGTGACAATGATTTTGCTGTTAGTGGAAGACAGAAACCTAGCCACAGGCATAGGTT